TTGGCTACACTGGAAAATGCTCGGGTCAGGCCACAGGAGGTAGAGCACACACCTCACAGCACACAAGGGCCTGAGTTCAAGCAGACTCAGGCACAACCCCATACTGCCCACCCCCTCGTTGCCTATCTGCTGACAAGCCTGGAGCCCTCATCCTTCTGTAAAAGCCCAGTTCCGCTCAGCCCAGGGCAGTTCCATACAGCAGGGCTGGCAATGGGGTTAGCTCTCCAGATTGCTACCCGATGTGTCGGGTCAGCTTTTCTCTCCATAGACATGTAGATCCGCCTGTCCACGGCTCCTATCAGACCTAAGACCACAGCCTTATTCCCTGCCGGCTGGACCATGGAAGAAACTGCCCATGCTGGCTTTCTCTCAGCCCCTCCATAGCTCCTCAGCCAGGCTATCTCTCTGCAAGCCAACAGCAGGCCAGATCAGAAGCCCAGGGCTCCCAGTCGGAGCATGGCTTCCATGTTATGATAGTTTGGAGATGTCCCCACAGTCTCAGGCATTTGGATACTTGGTCCCTCGCTGGTGACGCGACTTGGGGGAGGCTTAGGGGGCCTTTGAAGAGCTGTGTCACTGGAGTGAAAGCTTGGAGAATTCCATTTTGGACTCACTCACTCTGCTTCCTGACTGCAATTCTCACCTTCCAGCTCCAGCCGCCAGGCCTCTGTTCTGCCATCATGGACTTCTAGTTCTCCGGAAACACAAACCCAGACGACATCTTCCTTGAGGTGTTTTATCACAGTTTAGAAAAGCAACTGATACAGAAGTCGGTAACCAGGAGTAGGGTATTGACGTGACAGGCCTGACCCTTCTGGGTTTTTGGAAGAATGTGAAAGGCACTGAGATAAGAAAGCAGTTGAGTATGATAAGCTGAACTTAATGGGCCATCTTAGGAGCCTGGAGGACATTAGCGCCAAGAGAAAAGCAGACTGAGGAGGCCCAACTCAGGAGATTTCAGAAGGGATAATATTAGCAAGGAGGCTAGAGATTGTTCCTGAGACATTCTGGCCAAAAGAATGCATTTGCTTTCTGCCCTTGACCTAAGAGTTTGTCTGAGTCTACCAGGTGGTGGCGCATGCCTTTAATCCCAGCCCTCAAGAGGCAGAGACAGGTGGACCTCTGCGAGTTCAAGGCCCACCTACTCTACAGAGCAAGTTCCAGGACAGGCTCCAAAAAGCTACAGAGAAACCCTGTCTCAAAAACAAACAAACAAAAAGGTAGAACAGGCTAATTTCATTGACAGAAGCAATCTCAAGACAGCCTAATGTTGACTGTGTTGAGTATTTCCTAGTAATGACTCTTAGGCAGGTCTACGGTGGAAAGGAGCAAGTGAGGCAGAAAGAAATACACAGTGTGCAGCTGAGATGATGCCACAGGTGAGCTGGGTGCAGGGAGGAGGCTGCAGCAGAGATCAGCACGGTCACAGAGACCTGCTATGCACTTGGATAACGCTAAGCTTCCACTCTGTAAAAGAGAGCATAAGGCATTTTCTGATCTGCTAATGTGTTTTAAAGGGGCAAGGATCCACTCCAAACTGGCAGCCAAACTTTGCAGTGCTGTCCATGTGGCGCTGGCTTTACAGTCATGAAAGAGAAGGAAGGGGTCACTGAACTCTGCACGGTCTCAGAAAGCCACCAAGACTAGGCAGCGTGTGGCAGGAGCATCCTTGCCGAAAACCTCTGAGAGGGCAAAGGGCCCCGAGAGGCCATTTCATGAGATGGAAGTGAAGCTTGGTTTGTACTGGGAGTGCTGGAGCCATAGGAAGCCCATCTGTCAGGGAGAGCGGCATACAGGGAGTGGAAGCGGCCGAAGAGAGAAGAGTGTGCTGCCGGCGGCAAAGCTAGAAAAGTGGAGCCCTCTGGGGTGAGACGTGCAATTACACAGTCTGGAGCTCACATTGCTGGGTCTTGAACCTGCTTTGGTCCAAAACCCACACCATTTCCTCACTGTGCCCCATTCCTCTTTTGGAAGGGCAATGAATATTCTGCGTCACTGTGTGTTGGAAGTATGTAACTTGCTTTTTTGTTTTGTGAAGGGGTACAGATAAGAGATGACTTGAGTCTCAGATGACACTTTGGACTTCAGAATGGTGTTGAGACTGAGAGGTTGTGGGGCCTATTGAAGCTAGACTAAATGCATTTTGCAATTTGATATGACCACAAAGCCTATGGGGACACAAAGTGGTGGTTTAAATGAGATGTCCCCCATAATCTTGGGCATTTGGATACTTGGTATCCCAGCTGGTGATACTGATATAGGAAAGCTTAGGAGATGTGACCTTGTTGGAGAAGTACGCCATGGGGGAGGGCTTGGGAGTTTAAAGACTCACACCATTTCAAATTTATTCTCTCTGCTTCCTATTTAGAGTTCAAAACATGCACTCTCAGCCCCCAACTCAGCTGCCATGCCTCTGCTCTGCCATCATGGACTCTCGTCCCTCCAGAAAAATAAACCCAAATTGCCTCTTTCTTCTGTAAGTTGCCTTGTTCGTAGTACTTTCTCGTAGCCACAGAAAAGTAACTGATATCCACATTGTCACAGCTGAGATATCATCTGTCCCCCTCAACACAGGCACTATAAACAACCTAAGAAAGGATGCAGAGGGCTGAGGAGGGCGGCTTTCCTGGAAGCAGCTTGGCATGCCAGTGCTGCGGAGGTGGGCAGAGACTGGCAAGTCGTGGGGTCCCAATGACAGGGGGTGGCTGCTGTGGAATAAATAACACCCGATAGTGACCTCTGACCTTTACGAGAACCTACACACATGAATGCACACACACACGAAGGACACAGACCCACTGCCGAACATGATTACAGGACATAGACCTGGAACTGATCTGACAGTTTCCTCCCTGCTGGCTAGCTTTCACAGTATTGGAAGTTGCTTTGCAGGCCATAGGGAGAGAGAGATCATCCATGGTCTGACCCAGGAGTAAACCCTGCAGGCTACAATACCAACCCACCAAGCAAAATGTGCCCACTGGCACAAGAGTAACTTGAGTGCTTTGGGGGTAACTAACCACTCTTGGCCAGGACCTGCTTCACTAGAGGGAATTCCTCCCTGGTATTGTAAACTCAGTCAACAGTATATGGCTTAGGAGGTCATAGGCCCCAGGAAGGAGCCTACTACTGTTGTCTTGCTAAATGGGTGTTATCAAACTGCCTTCTAAATGTTTGCTTATACATATTAATTAATGCCGTTCTTCATCTTAGCCAGAGACCCTTCTCTTGCAGTGAGTTGTAGTGATATTTTCTTTGTGATCTAACAAATAAAGCTTACCTGAAGATCAGAGTGCAGAGCTAAGCCACTAGTTAGCCATAGAAGCCAGGCAGTGGTGGTACACATCTTTAATCCCAGCACTTAGGAGACAGAGGCAGACAGATCTCTGTGAGTTCAAGGCCACCCTGGACTACATGATTGAATCTTTCTAAAAGAACAACGGAGCTCACACAAAGGTGATCCCAGCACGTGGAATCACATGCCTTTTGTCCCAGTACTAGGGAAGAGGAGACAGAAGTGATATGGCTGGGTGGAGAGAGGAATATAAAGAGGAAGAGACAGGAGTGAGTGCAGTCTGAGGATTTATAGATCATAGAGACAGATGCTGTCTGAGGTTTTGTAGAGTGAGCGATAGTCCGAGGATTCAAAGAGACAGATGTAGTCTGAGGATTCAGTCTGGGATGCAGTCTGAAATTTCGTAGAGAGAGATTCAGTCTGAGGATTCAGTCTGGGATGTATAGTCTGAGATTTCGTAGAGAGAGATTCAGTCTGAGGATTTGTAAAGACAGGATCACCCCTTTCGGTCTGAGCATTGGTAGAGGTAAGAATTCTCTAATGGCTGGCTGCTCTGCTTCTCTGATCTCTCAGCAGTTGCCCCTGTATCTGACTCTGGGTTTTTATTATTAAGACCAACTAGAGTCCGTGCTACAGTGAGCAGTACTTGATGAAGAGACTCCTAACTCAAAGCGCTGAGAATAGGTGATCATTGAGAGCTCAGCCCTGAATGGGACGTCTGGATCAGCCTGACCTCCAAGGGCTCAGGGGGCATCAAGGAAAAGGGAACAAAGAATGTAAGAGCCAGAGGGTGGAGAGGACTGCTGTGAGCCGCTGTCTTCGGGACATGATATGGTCATTGTACCCATGAACTCCCTGTAGCCATGGTTACCTGCGTAAGATCAAGACAACAGATCAGACAGTCCAATAGGTGGCACTAGAGGACTTAGTAAGGAGAGAGGGAGAGAGAACCGGAGAGGGAGGAAGAGGGAATGTGAAAGAGGGGGCAGATGTTGGAGGTTATGAGAGGGAGAATGGGAAGAGAGAGTTAGGTGTGCAAACGATCAAGATACATTGTGTACTTGTATGAAATTGTCAAAGAATAATAAATGCTATTCTCTTCCAAACAGACACAGCCTGTATACAGTAAGTGCTCAATAGTTATGTGAGGTTCCTGCCTCACAGCCACATCACTAAGCCCAGGAAATCATATAGGCTGTATCTCTCTCCTCAGGGAAGCTCTGGTGTGTCCTGAACCCCAGCACATGGCCGTCACGGTGACTTTCTCTGCACATGTGGCCATGTTCCTGCCCCACTATTTCTGCTCCTAACCCCACTGGACTCCCTAAAGTCCAAACCCCAGCAGGTGTTCACAGCTGCCTGTTCTCACCTCTGAGCCCTGCCATTCTGTTCCCACGGCCTGACATACCCTCCCTAAATCAGCTACGTCTGTGTTTCTCCTCAGACCCCTGATGAGTAGCCACCCCTTCTGAGAAGCTGCCTCCCAAACCTGCCCCAGATAGGAATCAGCCCTTCCTGCAGCTGTCTGGGCTGTTCTCCTTGGCAGAACAGTGGCCACAGTAAGTAATACTGGCCCCCCGGAGAAAGCTACTTCCTCTTCAGAAAGAGATCCCAGGTTCTAGTGTTCCCTGTTCCTCTCTAGCCAGAAGGGCAATTTTCCCACACTCCCTCACAACCAGGAAGTGTCCCGCCCCTCTGGGGCCTGTTTAGAACAAGTACAAAAGCTAAGCTCATTCCACGCGCCTGTTTCCCAAACTGCAAGCTCTTTTTTGTGGGTGAGTAGCCTGCCCCTTTTCTTTTTGCTTATCACGAACACCGGAGGATCCTTGGCCTCCCCCTCTGTTCCCGAGGTGGTCTTATTCACACCCCAAGCTCTGCCCAAGGACCCTGGTCAGTAAAGATTTCACATGTCCACTGGGGAAGAATTAACCTACTAGGGATCTGACCTGACAGGAACTATTCCACACTTCTTCCTGATGGAGCTCAGAAGGACCTGGACTCTGGTCTTTCCCTGAGTCCTGAGATTCCTGACCCCCAAGTCCTCCCCTTTCCATAGCAGCCTTTATATCTCATCTTTCCTGTCTGGAAGCCCGGGCTGACTGGGTCTCCTCCTCCAACCCTCAGAGAGCCATGGTGGGCCCCTACAGCCTCTTCGCAGAGGACCTGGGATCCACACTTGCAACACATCTCCCATCCCAGTTCTCACCCTGGAATCTACCCCAGACATACTGCACACACCTGGGAACAGAGCCCTAGACCTGATCCATCGGTTTGAACTCCCACGGCCCTGGCCCTGACTACCTGTTTTGAGGCATGTTCTCAATGGGCTTCCCTGGGCGCCCCCTGTCTGCTCCCACCCTGTGACAACTCCTCCCGTTTCTGATCTGCTGAGTCAGGGTGAGCACACAGCAAAGGAGGTGTTGATTTTGACGCTGTGGCCTGTGACCTGACCCCTATTCGGCTGCAAGGTAGAAAGGTGTGGGGGGGGGGGGCGGGGGCGGCATCTGGTTTCTTAGCAATAATCAACCTGTCTGTAGAGGAATGGGTATGGATAGTAACGGGCCTCGGCCAAACTAGATCAGAACCATGTCTTCCCTCATAGAGGAATGGGTATGGATAGTAACGGGCCTCGGCCAAACTAGATCAGAACCGTGTCTTCCCTCATTGTGCCATCTGGGCTGAAGTGCTGGGTACCAGGCTTCTCTGCTCCTCCAGGAGTGTTGGAACAGGGCAGGCAGGGTGACATAGGGGAAAGGAGGCGTTTCTGTAGCTTCCAGAAACCTCCTGATCAGTGAGAGAGGTCCAGTGTTCAAGAGTTGCCCAGACAAGTGAAATATCTCTGCATCACCCCAGGCTTCTGCTTTCCCTTTTTCTCCTGGATCCCAGGTCCAGCCTCCCTCCTTCCTTTTCTCTTTTTCCTCCTTCTCATCTTCCCTCCCCAACCCGAAATGGACACCCTCTGCTGCTTGAGCGGTCAGAGTTCCAGCCTCCTCCCGACCAGGGTAGCGTCCAGGGCAGGACCGAAGCCCAACACTTGGAACTACCCTCAGGGGCGGGTAGTGGGGCGGGGCCTCGGGATGCGTGTCTGGGTTGGCCAATGAATGCTTAGAGGCTGTTTTGCCGGCTTGCCCTGATCCTCAGGGTGGGTGGAGCTAGCTGCCAGGCGGGCGGGCCATCCCTGGAAAAGAGGGAGGGCCCAGGTTATTGGGGGGTGGGACCTTCCCGGGTCACCAAGGAAGGGCGGGTGTCAAAAACACCTGGGAGGGCTCTGCCACGAGGACTGCAACCCATGCTCTCCCGCGAAGACAGGTACAGAGGTCACCTGTTGAGCTTCCAGAGCGTAGGATACCAAGTATCAGGGCCCTTGATGGACTTTCGGGTGAAGGCTGTCCTGGGGCTCTAATGGTGAAGTCAGGCAAAACTTTGAAATGGGCTCAGCCAGGCCTGTAACATCTGGTTCCCACCCGTGGAAGAGGTTGGGAGGGAAGGAAAGCACCCCACTCTAAGTGAAGCTGAGCTGCCCTACAAGTGTGGGGCCTGAAGAGCTGAGCTGTCCCCCAGTCCCTTCTCTACTCCAACACCAGAAAACCCTAGAGCTTCAGACAGGTCCCAGAAAAAGGAAGGTTCTCGGTGGATACAAAAAGGCCCCTGCGTAATGACTTGTGTCAGCCCCATACCAAAAACATACGCCAAAAGTATCCGCCAGAAACTCTACCTGCCTTCTTTTCCCTCTAGAAGTAAGGCATGGGGGGGGGGGGGCTGGAGGGCTGGCTCAGTGGTTAAGAGTACTGATTGCTCTTCCAGGGGACCCGGGTTCAATTCCCAGCACCCACATGGCAGCTCACAACTGTCTGAAGATCCAGTTGCAGAGGATCTGACACCTTCACACCAATGCACATAAAATAAAGTTAAATAAACCATAAAAAAATATTTAAAAAAAAAAGAAGTAAGGCATGGGGTCTTCCTGTGGAGGACATCTGGGGACTCAGTCAGACTCCCTTTTGGGGTGAGGGTGCCCTCTGAAGTATGGGATGCTCCTTTTCCTCTTCTATGGAGGCTGTGCCCTAGACCAGGAGCCAGCAGATGGAGAGGGTACCCGACCCACTCTTGAAGGCCGAGGTAGCTGGAGAGCCCTGACGAGCTCTATGGTTCGATACTCTCTTCTCCCTCTCCTGCAGGCACAGGCCACCCCTTCCAACCTGGTGAGTCAGCACCCAGCCAGAATCAACAGGACTTTTGCCCCTTGCCTGCCGCAAGGCTTGCCCTGCTCTGGCTCAGGTTCCTCCAGAGGTCCAGATACCGCCTGTCCGGAATGTCTGGCCAGCTCTCTGGCAGCATGGGTGCTCACCGGAAAGGGATCATCACACTCACCTATGTGCTGGCTGCCCTGGAGCTAACTTGTCTCTTCATGCAGTTCTCCTTCTTACCAGTGAGTAACACCCACACCCCACACCGGAGGCCCAGCACTGCCTTCTTGGTGGGCAATGGCAGGGAGCAAGGTGGGGCTTGATGCTGCTGGATACGTTCAGAATCCTAGGAACTGGACCCATTGACACCCCCATCAACCTGTGAGCTGCCCTCTCTGCCTTTCTTGAGACAGTGTTCTCCTCCTATAGCCGCCTCACTTACTGCCCTCTGCCCCGTTCTTCCCCTGGGTGCCTATGCCTGACACCTACTCAGCTCCTGTCCTGAAGGGCTGTAGGCAGTCAGTCTTTTCTGATCTTTGTGTCTGTCCATCCCTTTGTCCTTCTAGGTATCCCTTACGTTATACCCTATTCCATGTTACCCATTTCACTGGCTTCTCTCCTACCCCAGGGACTTGGTCCCACAGCCTTGCTGGATCTACCAGAATCAGTGCAGGGTGGAACAGAATAGTCACCTCTGGCTACAGGATGCCTGCCTACAACCTTTGGTTCGTTCCTACTTTTCACTAGAGTTTAGTCACTCAACAAAACTGTATGGAGCTGGACCACAGGAGTCCACGGCATACAGGCAGCAGCATCTAGGACTCAGAGGTCGACTATCTATCTCCCTTTTCTGTCCAGCCTGGGTGGGATTATGACATTGGCCACACACCACCTTACAATGCTCTCTTGGAGATTCGCAAGGCTAGGTTAGCTGGAGTGTTGGGTTGAGGTTGGCTCTATGTTAGGCTTGGGACCCACTCAGCATATGGGCCTGGCCCTCAGTATGATAAGCAGGCCAGGCTAGGTAGAAGTAAGATACCTGGGCACACAGGAGTTTTGATTGAAGCCAGAACCCTGCTCACATTGTACCCAAAAGTCCAAAGTTCAGAAATACAAAGAACAGAGTTAGATATGACCAGAAAAATGAAGCCTGAGTCCTGGCTGCCATGGCCCTCCACTCCTCTGTCCCTGGAGACTAGAGCGGCAGAGCTGGCCCTGCCTGCAGCTGGGAATCTGGGTTAGAGGCAGCCCTGACCTTTATGGTCATTCTGGGAGTGACAGACACTTTCAGCTCAGGACCCCACCCTCCATCAGCCTTCTTAAATTGAGCTCTGCTCATTCACTGATAGCCCGGGTCCCCACCCCAAGCCTCCTTCCTGAAATGTTGGCACCTGGACAGGAGCCTTACCTTCCTCCTCATAAAAGGAGGGTTGGCACGGGGAGGAGAATGTATTTCAGCCTCGGAACAGCCTGCATGAACCTGCAGTGGCTCCCACAGAGAGGCTCTGGTTGGCCAGCCTATCCTCATGAAGTCCTATGCACAGACCCCGGACTGTGACACATCAGAGCACAATTGACCAGACACCTGGCCCTCAGAGCTGGTGGCTGGCAGGGTTTCAGAGGTCCTGGTGTAACATTGACACGGTGCAGTGAAAGAAGAAATGGTCGGGAGTGAGAAAGGGTGAGGGCACACGACAGATCTGGGGTCAGAAGGCAACAGAAGAGCAAAGGGGTGAAGGCAGCCGAAGAAGCATTACCATGCAGAGGCCCTGGGGTGTGCTGAGCCTGCAGCTAGAGAAGAGGCATTGAAGTCCCAGGACCACACTCATCAGGAGCTGCAGATTCCAGGATGACTAGGGACAACCGTGGAGGGGTGCAAAGGGGGCAGATCTGCTGTCAGTGGTGGGTTACATGTGAGGGAGGGTGAGAGAAAGGAGTTCAGAGATGGACCCAATCTTGGGAGGGCAGATGCTGCCTGCAGTGAAGAAGCAATATTAGGGGCTCTCTGGCTACGAGCACTGACTGCTCTTCCAAAGGACTAGGGTTTGATTCCCAGCACCCACATGGAAGCTCACAACCACCTGTAACTGTAGTCCCAGGGGGGCTATAATGCTCATGGTACACAGACTATATGCAGACAAAACAGCCATACACGTATAATAAAAAATGATAAAATAAAATCAAAGAAACAACAGTCAAGGACCTCGTCGGTGTTGAGGAGGACAGATCCCTAGTTCCTGCCATGCTGTGCAGGACATGATTTCAGACAAGGCACAGAATAGAGGAGGAACGTGCTGGCCGTGGGTCAGAGGCATGGGGCACTACATGACAGAAATGGCCACAGCAGGCTCTCCAAGTGGGAAAGGAGGATGGCAGGAACTACTGATGAGGTAGGAGGCCCAGGACAGTCTAGAGCACAGAGTCACAGAGGAAGAAGCAAGCCACTGAGGCAGGTGCCAATCAGAGAGGGGCCGGCTAGGGTTTCCCTGAGCAGACTGCTGGAGGAAGGAGGAAGGAGAAAAAGCAACTGCTTTGGGCAAGGCAGGAGAGAGCTGGAGCACCTGGGTCAGCACCCAAGGCTGTGAGGGGAACTGGAGGAGAAGGCACCAGGGAGAATCCCAACATTGTTAGAACAGGGCCCTCAGGAAGGTCTCGAGAGAGGAGAGCTTAAGGAGTGTTAGCCTTGGGACAGATGCCTATGGGGCTAGTGACAGGTGGGCCAGCAAGGAGGAAGGAGGAGGCAGAGATCTGGAGGGAGATGTTGACTCATGTGGGGTGCAGCTGGATGGGGAGAATAAGATCCTGGGGTCCCAGGACTGCTTGGGTCCTCTATAGGAATACTGCCACCTCTCTTCTCCTTTCAGATAGTCAGCCCCTCAAAAGGGCCTGAGTCCTAAGGAACTCACAGAGCAGACTGTCTGGGCTGGGCCACATCTCAGAGGTTCAGGGAAGTTACTTGCTGGGCAGGACAGTGCTATTACTATTTGAGGACAAGACATTGAGGATGGATGTCTCTCTGTGGTTCACTTGAAGCGTGTCCTGTGGAGGGGTTGGGCCAGAAGTCGTTGGCTAGGGACTCCTACAGGGTCCACCTGGAGAGGGAGGAAGAGGGTCCCCAAGGAAGGCCTCCTCTCCCATGACACTGCCCTCTGCTCCCTCCCACCCTTACTTGTCTGAAGTGACCTGACTACAGACCCTTCTTGTGTTTCAGTATCTGTCTCGGACACTAGGCCTCGATTCTGTCAACTTTGGCTACCTACAAACGATCTTTGGAACGCTTCAGCTGCTGGGTGGGCCCGTGTTTGGCAGGTATGGTGTGTGAGGGATGCAGAATCCACAAGACCACATGACCGCCCCTCCTATTCAATGGGTGTAAGAGAGATCCAGCGTCTGGTTGGCTTCCAAGCATCCTTGGTGCCGCATTAGTGATACCCCAAACTCCAGCTAGCGGACCTTCAGATGACTTCCTTGATGGAAGCCCACATACCCACACCTGCCCTGGGTGGTCCTTCACCAGCCTCCCAGCAGCCCCAAGTGGGGAGTGAGGGAAGGGCCCTGCCTGCTGGGCACTGACTCGCCCTGCTGCCCCAGGTTCGCAGACCAGTATGGGGCGCGGGCAGCCCTCTCCCTCTCCTTCGTGGCAGCCTCGGCTCTCTATCTACTCCTAGCAGCCTCCTGCAGCCCAGCCCTGCCTGGTGTCTTCCTGCTCTTCGCCTCGCGCCTACCCTCAGCACTCATGCACACGCTTACAGGTAGAGACTAGTGGGTAGACCTGGTGGAAAGGGGGTAGAGGGGAGAGATGAGGGCGTGGCTTCAGGTAGGGGCAGGTGGTGGGTGAGTGGGATGGAGAGGTGGTGCGTGGTCTAAGACAGGCCAGACAGAGTAGAGAGGTTGTAGAGGTGTGGACTGGGTGGAGGGTGCTGTGGAGGGGCTGTGTGTGGCGGGGGGAATACAGTCTGGGTGGAGGGGCTGCCAGGCCTGGCCTAGTTGGAGGAGTTTGAAGGAGTTTGTTGCTTGGACTCCTGAGTGGGCTGTCCACCGTGAGGGGTCGGGTCCAGTTCAGCCCCCTCCTACCCGCAGCTGCCCAGATGGTCATCACAGATCTGACAGCGCCCGCAGAACGGCCAGCGGCCCTTGGCCGGCTGGGTCTCTGCTTCGGCGTTGGAATGATCTTCGGCTCCCTGCTTGGCGGAACCCTTAGCACCACGTATGGGTAAGTGGCCTGGCGAGGGCCTGGGGAGCCGGGAAGGCACTTGGCAGGTTGCTCACCCTCAGACCATTGAGCCAGCAGCAGCACCTCTCTGAGACTTGGTTTCCCCACTTAAATGTCAAACATTTGGGGAATCAACCTGCAGGGTGGGTGGAGCGTTGGGTAGTGTCGCCACCAGGGGGCGCCATTGTTACGGCCCAAAGCGCAAAAGTGCCGCTTTGGAAACGTGTGTCCTGTCCCGGAGGAAGGGTTGGGAAGGTGCCTCTGACACTCCTGTGTAGACTGGGACTCCTCACATTCATTCTTATTGCATAAAATCTCATTCACGCTGTTTCTAGAGGTGGCTCTCTCTCGGGAGGGGGGCTGTGGCCGGAGTCCCTTCGAGGAAGAGGGAGGAGGGGATAGATACCCCAGTGTGCTGCCCGCCCTGTGTGCCTGTTTTCCTCAACTCTAAAAGTTAGTTCTGACAGTGGCTTGCAGACTTAAGGACATCCACCAAGTTAGGCTTCTACCAAGTCCCCAGCTCTCTGCCCCAGAATTCTTCACCTGACCCTGCTCTGAGGACTCAGTTCTTTGTCCCCTTAGAAAGACCTCAAAAAAAAAAAAACATAATTCTAGGATAGTCTTTGGTAGGCTCTCCTGTCTGCCCCCTCCTGTAGTGGGGACAGACCCAAGTGAGGTCTCCTTGGGAGAAAAGCTTCACCGTGGGCTTAGCATGTTCCCTGGATCTTTGCCCCAAACCTCCTGCACCCATCCGAATGAGATCCTAAGAGTCGGCCTGCTCCTACTGTCCCCACCCCCCCAAAACTCCCATGAAGTCAGCTGTGGTGTTGGGGCAGGGGCCTCATCCAGTAGGGGCCATGTGCTTCTTCTCAGAGGAGCCTGTGTCCTCAAGATGGATACAGTTCCTTGTAGGCTCTCTCCTGGACAGAGCCTTCTGAGTGTCTAAAACCTGTGCTTTGGAGGTGATATTTGAAGGACATATCTGTCACAACCAGGCTCTCTCATCTTGGATTAACAATGTCAGTCCTAAATTCTTAGGATTTGGCTTCCTCCTCAAACCAGGCCCTGTAACCAAGGCTCCCCAAATTTCCTCAGACCGACCCAGTGACAGTAGAGGCATCCGGGCAATGGCTGAGCTCAGAGTAGCAGGTATGGGCTAACACCAGGGCCCCGTTGCAGCACGGCTCTAGGATGGTCTGCGGCAGGCTCTCTTGTCTGTCCCTTGCAGTGGAGACAGACCTGGCCTGGCAAGAAGGTCGCCAGGGACACATGGCAGAGGTCGTTGACATGGACCTGGATGCCCTCTCAACATTAATAATAATTATTAATAGCTTGTCTAGCTCACTAGTGCTAATCGAGCATCTAACAAGTGCCCCCCCAGGATTCCACATTCTGGGGCACAATTGGGAATGAGACAGCCCAGGTCTCTAGGCTGTGTTAGAAGTGGGTCTAAGGTCCTAAGAAAACAACTAACTAGGCAAAGAGAATGACCTGCAAGGCAAAAAGTTTTGCTTCTGCAAGAGGGGGCAAGCTTATCGATGGGGTTTGAGTTAGGTTTGTTCTCCTGTGCTTTATTCTGAGTGCTTGGAGCTTGGTCTGGTATTTGACTAGATCTGCCGATTTCAAGCTGATAAGCAGGTGAGGTTTGGAGCAGAATTCCTGACCTTGAGCACAGATTTTGATTCCAAGAACTGATGACCCTGGAGGAATTTGAGTTTCAGCCAGGCGCTTCATTTTTCTTTATCTTTTCTTTCTTCTTCTTCTTTTTTTTTTTTTTTTAAAAAAAAAGAACATGGTCTCACTATGCAGAGCTATGCAGAGTCCTGGCTGGCCTGGAACTTACCAGAACTTGCTCGACAGAGCGGGCTGACTTCAACCCCACTGGAATCTATTTTTCTGCCTCTGCCTTCTAAGTACTGGGATTAAAGGCGTGCACCACCTCATCCAGCTCTTTTATATTTTTTTTAAATGAAGTTTCGTCTTATTTAACTGCTTGATAGAAAAAGACAGTACATTTCCCACAGATGTTATAAAGTTGGATTGAAGTCAGGTGGTGGTGGTGCACGCCTTTAATCCCAGCACATAGAAGGCAAAGGCAGGCGGATCTCTGTGAGTTTGAGGCCAGCCTGGTCACAGAGCGAGTTCCAGGACAGCCAGGGCTACACAGAGAAACCCTGTCTTGAAAAAGCCAAAATAATAATAATAAGTTAGATTAAACTATGTGAGATATGGAAAGAAAGAAACCAGGATGAAGGGGAGGGGATGGATGGGTGATCATCAGGATTTCTGAGCAGGTTAAGTTTAAGTAGAGACCCAATGCAGGGCAGGAGGGAGGCAAATAAGCAGAAAATGTACAGACCCTGGGGTCCAGGGAAGTAAGGAGGCCAAGTGGCTGCAGGGGCCAAAGAAAGGGAGAGCTGAGAAGTGGGCATGGGTACCCGGGAGGAAGATGAGGGTGGAGGGCTCTACACCATCCAAGTGAGAGTGACTGGACCAGAGATGGCCACTGGGGTCAGGACAGAGGGTAGTTTCTTGGCTGTTTTTTTTTTTTCCATGGATGGGAGCAAAATATAAACTCAAGTCTCAGTGCCAATATGCAGTCCAAACCGGGCTCTCCCTAGGAGGTCTGAGCAGCTTGAAGGTCCCCTGGGAGGACGACTGTTGATCCAAAGGACTGTGGAACAGATGTCCAGCTGAGCACCTCTGCCAGTGGAGGACAGTAATTGCTGCCCCCTCCAGAGTGTCCCAGATGTGCCTGGCCTTACAAGTTTAGGAGGCAGAGGAGCTGAGGACTGTGTGGCTTTGCAGAGGGCAGGGAACTGAGCTGCAATAACAAGTTGACTCAGGCCCAGCAAGGGTTTGTCCCTGTAGCCTCTACTCTGGGGTCCATGAATGGACCACGGGAAAGCAGGAGAGATCAGCTTGCAAAACCAGACTGGCTGTGCAGGGGAGAAGAGGTGGCCTGGGGGAGCCTTTTTCAGGATGCAGGAACACAGGGAAGGCAGTTTTCAGGGGATACCCAAGGCCACTGTCCTGCTGCCAGGGGCAGGGAGGGGTACATCCCCTTACTCCAGCAGGTTTTCTCACCTGTGGTGTGGGTCCATGGGTCCTCCGAGTTCACCAGTGCTGCAGGGGTGAGCAACCCTGATAGTGTACAGTCACTGCCGTCCGCGCGTTTCGCAACCTACCCCATCTAGTCCCTCGCACGGTCCTCACCTGCATTTCCTGCACCCCAGCCGCTGACTAAGAAGACACAGCTCATTTCCTTTTCCTTCTCAGCACCCCCAAGATGGCCACCTCTGTCACACCTTCCAGAATAGTCTATCCATTTCACTACCTTCTTTTATCCCAAGCTCTGAGACCCTTTATAACCATGACATTTATATTACATAGAAAGAGGCCCAGCTCAGCATCTCATTTATTGAGTGGGGATCTGAGATTCAAATGAGGAGGCAATCCAGTGCTCAGACCTGGGGACAAAGTGGGGGACGTCTTCAGGTTGTCACATACCTAAGAATCTGAACCCTCACGAGCAAAGCTGACCTCGAGCTGTCTGAACCTGTGGGAGGTGCATGGGAAGTTCTTTCTTAATGACTTATAACTGAGGGGTCTATCTTTGTCCCACCGGACATGACTAACCAGCAGCCAGGATTCATGCGGCTGTGAGCGTGATTGTCCCCCACCTGTTTGTGAGGGTGTAGAGGCCTGGGTATTTAGCCCATTTGCAGTCACCTCTCATCCCCATAGAGACCCAGGACCCAGGTGTCCCACAGTGAGGACAACTTGAATATGCTCCCCAACCCCCAACTCCCAGCTGCTCCTGACCTGGCCTCAGGCAAGAGCGACCCATACTTTACCCTCCCCCTCCTTGATGGACATCAAGGCCTCATAGGGGTCTCCCTGTCCCCTGTCTCTCTGGCCACTCCTGGGAGCTTGTCCCCCTAGAAGGTCCCAACTATGCCCATCTCTGAAGCCTGGGGTAGCAGGTGTGAGGAGGAAGTGGATTTGGCACTGGAGCAGGGGCAGACTGTAACTGGTTTGGGCCAGCCTAATGCTCGGTCTCAGGAGACTGAGCTGCCCAACAATGGCCCTGAGCCCAGAGCATCTATCTGCATACACATCAGCAGGTGGGGGTGGTCCTTGACTTATCACCCTGAACCCCAACTTCTCACAGCCTGGGGCTGGTCTTTGGAAGGGTCTCTCAGGACCCAATTCAGGTAATTAAGAGTCAGCCTCTAGTCTGAGTACATCCAGGGTCATGGCATGGGAGCAGAGAGGAGCCCTGCCTACGGGTGGGCAGCAGCATTTGTGAGGGCAAGGGGGTGCCCGTCAATGGAGGCACGGTCCTACAGATAAGATACCCTGGTTATTTGAAAAGATTCGAGGGGTGAGAATGACCAGAGCCGGTAAGATGGGCAAAATGTCCAAAAGGGTATTTGGGGTGGTGAAGACAATATCTTCATATTGTCTCTGGGACCACCATCAGTACTGCACACAAGACCTATGGAGCCCCTAGTGGCCATGCAGTAAAGTCCTTGCTGTTAGGGTTCTGGCCCTTTGGAGGCAGAGTTGCAATGAGTTCCCAGGTAGTTGAGAGATAGCATGGAGAGGTGAGGACTGCCGGAGAGGTCAGGTCTTCATTCTTTTGAAGGTGGAGTCATCAGGCTTACTGGTGGGTATTAGGAGACCTGTGGTGTTTAAGACAACATGAGACATCTAAATTCAAGCCTGGGGACTGTGAAAGTGGCCTCAGTGATGAAGATCTGGGGCATGAAACAGTGACTGGCAAACTAGGCAGGCTGCCAGTTGTGCCTGTAAAGCCAGTGGCTCTCAGCCTTCCTAATGCGGTGACCCTTTAATACAGTTCCTCATGTTGTGGTGACCCCAACCATAAAATTATTTTGCTGCTACTTTGTAACTGATTTTGCTACTGTTATGAGCCATAATGGAGATGTCTGATACACAGGATATTTGATGATGCATGGCCCCTATAAAAGGAT